GGCTCTGTATCAACTGTGTAATTTTCCATGGGAGTTTTGCCATGGATCCCCCTCCGGCATGCCACAGTCCAGGTGTTAGTCCCCTTGAAACAACTTTTCCATCCCTATTGTGGCCAGAAAGAGTCCCTGTGTGTTTTAAAATTCGCCTCCCCATTGAAGTCAATCGCGTTTCGCCGGTTCGCGAACATTTGCGGAAGTTCGCGTTCGCCATTAGCGAACCGAAAATTTCGGGTTCGCGACATCACTAGTTATAAGATTGGATTGAGTTATGGGGATGAATTGAGTTATAGGGATGGATTGAGTATACGGTTGCATTGAGTTATAGGGATGATTGAGTTATCGGATTGGATTGAGTTATAGGGCTGGATTGAGTTATAGGATTGGATTGAGTTATAGGGTTGATCGAGTTATAGGGTTGATTGAGTTATGGGGCTGGATTGAGTTATAGGGTTGGATTGAGTTATAGGGATGGATTGAGTTATAGGGATGGATTGAGTTATGGGGCTGGATTGAGTTATAGGGATGGATTGAGTTATAGGGCTGGATTGAGTTATAGGGTTGATTGGGTTATAGGATTGGATTGAGTTATAGGGCTGGATTGAGTTATAGGATTGGATTGAGTTATAGGGTTGATCGAGTTATAGGGTTGATTGAGTTATGGGGCTGGATTGAGTTATAGGGTTGGATTGAGTTATAGGGATGGATTGAGTTATAGGGATGGATTGAGTTATGGGGCTGGATTGAGTTATAGGGATGGATTGAGCTATAGGGCTGGATTGAGTTATAGGGCTGGGTTGAGTTATAGGGATCGATTGAGTTATAGGATTGGATTGAGTTATAGGGATGTATTGAGTTATCGGATTGGATTGAGTTATAGTGTTGGATTGAGTTAAAGGGCTGGATTGAGTTATAGGGATGAATTGAGTTATGGGGATGGATTGAGTTATAGGGTTGGATTGAGTTATGGGGCTGGATTGAGTTATGGGGCTGAATTGAGTTATAGGACTGGATCGATTTATAGGATTGGATTGAGTTATAGGAATGGATTGAGTTATAGGAATGGATTGAGTTATAGGGCTATAACTCAATCCATCCCTATAACTCAATCCAACCCTATAACTTAATCCAGCCCCATAACCCAATCAACCCTATAACTCGATCAACCCTATAACTCAATCCAAACCTATAACTCAATAGGAGTTATAGGGCTGGATTGAGTTAGTGGGATGGATTGAGTTATAGGGCTGGATTGAGTTAGTGGGATGTATTGAGTTATAGGGCTAGATTGAGTTATAGTGCTGGATTGAGTTATAGGGATGGATTGAGTTATAGGGCTGGATTGAGTTATAGGATTGGATTGAGTTATAGGGCTGGATTGAGTTATAGGGCTGGATTGAGTTAGTGGGATGGATTGAGTTATAGGGATGGATTGAGTTATAGGGCTGGATTGAGTTATAGGGTTGGATTGAGTTATAGGGATGGATTGAGTTATAGGATTGGAATGAGTTATAGGGATGGATTGAGTTATAAGATTGGATTGAGTTATGGGGATGAATTGAGTTATAGGGATGGATTGAGTATACGGTTGCATTGAGTTATAGGGATGATTGAGTTATAGGATTGGATTGAGTTATAGGGCTAGATTGAGTTACAGGGCTGGATTGAGTTATAGGGTTGGAATTAGTTAT